AGCTGTCCCTGTCGAGGATACTTCACCCCATGTCACGTTGACGCATACTTGAATTCCTATAAGCAGCTCCAAAACCTGAATTCGAAGTAGTGCAGCTTTCCCCATCCGCATGCTTTTTGGCTCACGCCCTGGCCGAATTTACCCAGCAGTTGGAAGTACTGCCGTTGTCCACGGCACAGCGCCGCCATAGTACTTCCACGGGTAATCACCTTAGCACAAGCAACAACCCATAAGGCTTAGGGCGATCTTGCACGAAGACGCCGGGGGGTCAAATGAGATGTGTTTGGGTGTTTTTGCATTCGGTCCCACCCACCCACCACCCCACCCCTCCCGTCAACCTGTGGGACCGCCAACTCTCAACCGGGTCTAACGAGGGGGCGGATTTCACATATGGTCTCAACCGCCGTTGCCAAATGAGGGGCGAGTTTGCGAGATGGGATCAACTGCCGTCGCCTAATCAAAAAAAAGAGGATTCAACCGACCTCGCCTACTGAGGGGCCGGGTTCAAGATATGGAATCAACCGCACTGGCCTACTCAGCGTGTGGCTCAAGATCAGATTTGAGAAGAACCACCTTCGTGGAACGAGAGGGCGGAATTGATATGTGAAGCCAACCCCTATCGCCTCAAGAGGGGCCATGGACTGATACAGGATCACCCGCCAGCGCCTCAGGCATTGGGGGACCGGATTAAGATATGAGATCAACCGATCTCGCCCAATGAGGGGCTGGGTTAAAGATATGTCATCAACCGTTCGCCTAACGAGGAAGCGGATTTGAGATGTGTTGAACTGTTGAACTTTCGAATTGCCATGACATAGTGAGTGGGCAGGTGCAAGGTATAAAATCAGGTGCAATCGTCTCACGTGGGGGGGGGGGGCGGAATTGATGTATGAAATCAACAGCCATCGCCTATTTAAGGTGCGAGTTAACATCACAGGATCAACCGCCATCGCCTAATGAGGGACATATGGACAGGGCGGGTTTGATTATGAAAGCAACCGCCATCGCCTAAGAGGGTGCGATTGCAAGACATGGGATCAACCGCCATGGTCTAATGATGGGCTGGTGGGGGAGATCACAAAAAGAGACCGTCAGGGGCCGAATTTGAAACCTATGGTGCAGCGCTTCCAGGCCCGTGGTATCCCCCCCCGCCTCCCCCTGTGGTTCCCTCTGGTGTGGGTTCCCGCCCTGTCCCTCCCTCGAAGATGGTGATCACGATCCCCGTCCGCACGCTCCACCGGTCCCTTGCTCAAGAGTCCTGAAACGAAGGTCAATGAACCACATGCTCGCTGACTTGTAATTTGCCGCACCCAACCGAAACTGAGCATAGAATGACAAGGGTCGATACAAACTACAAAAACCCATGAAAGAACATAATTGAAACAAATAAAAGCACTGCGCATACGGTGCCTAAGGGCAGAAACGCAAAAGTGCAGAGGTGCTACCAACAGTCACAGGAACACCAGCATTGTAAGAAACACATCAGCGTCATTGTCCTCAGCATAATCGCCATCATTATCAGTATGATCTGTGTGGGGAGCGGGGGAGGGGTCGCGCGCGATGATTTTGCGCGAAAGTTCCAAAAGAACGTCGACAGTTACGA